TAGGGGTTTTCGAGAATTCTCACATGCTCGAACTGGAGCCGAAACTAAAGCTGTGCTTGGGTGGTTTTTGCAGGACCTGTCCTGGCTGCGCGCGTAAGCCTTTCATTGTACCTTCCGTGCTGCCAAGTTCCAAGCCCAGCAGTCAGTGGCTCCCTTAGGATTTGGGTTTAGGGTTTAGGCTGATGTAGAATGGCCTGGCAGAACTTTAGGGAATGTGGACTCTGGGCGGCCGAGATGCTGCGGCTTCACTGAATTATTCAGCTTGGGACATGTCCTTTCGCCTGGCAGCTTTGCTGACGTTGGCCTGCTCGTCGCAGCGCCCATTCTGCCACTCATGATTTGACTTCTGTGTACCAGGATGGGCTACTAGGCCTTAAAATCCCCACAATGAACCCTATAAATGTCCTTTTAAGGGATGATAGGGTACAATCGCCCATCCTGGTAGGGTCTAAAGAATAAGGCCCATCCTCGGATGACCGCCTAAGCTCCAAAGCTCCAAACACTTTTTGCTTACACAGTGGTGCTTTCTTGGCAGACGCGCGAATGGCGAATTCCGCGTGGCAGAACTGACGTCATCCTGCTGCCTGGTGGGCGGATGTTGGCGAGCAAAGTTTAGCTTAGCTGGGCTGAAGAATTGCCGGACGGGACGTTGACGCTGTGAGACGCGGTAGCCTCAGTTCACGAGCCATGGCTCGTACGAGGTTCCATGGCCAACCCGAATGCATCTGATACGCCGGCAATCCGCGAGAATGTCCCAGCAAAGGAGCCGGCCTGATCCAGGTGCCAACTGTGAAAAGCCAGGGGTATTCTTCGCGATGATACCTGCCTTGCGCCCGCGATGATGCTTCGCCTGCGTCAAGCCTCATCCATGTCCAAGAAGAGCGTCTGCAGCCTCAGTAGCCGCTGTAGGCACTGTGGGCACTGCAGGCAGAGCAGGCGCGTGCCCGCTCGGGTTCTTTGCTGGCTTCGAAGGCTTCGCCGTTCAGGACATCGCGGTGATGTTCGATCTGGAGGGCTCAGAGTCGAGGAGGCTCGCTTTGATTCTCCCTTCTGATTCAAGCTTCCGTGAGAAACCGAAACCAAAGCCAGGAGGCATAATTTGATGCCGTTGCGCAGAAGGGCTTTCTGGGTTTTGAGCCCTGCAGTGTCCACCCTCTGCATCTGCCGTGCCCCTCGGCCACGCAATGATGACGTGAGTCGTCGTGTACGGACGCGCAAATGACAACAGGGTTTGGTAAGCTGTGAGCTGTGCAGAGGAAAGCTCTCTGCTTCTGAGAACGGATCCGATGCCAAATGAGGGCGGAAGCCCGCAGCGCCGGGCATGTGAGTCGTGTGCCAGGTGGCGTGGCCTCGCTTCTTTGACCTGGCGCCTTTGCAGGCCCCATCATACCCACCAGGGTGCCCTGTCCATAGTAGCCCCACGTGTTGGACTTTCCGGCATGCTCGAAATCAAGAGGTCTTGGAGCAACCGGGTCAGTCTGATAGACGTTCGGGAGTGACCTGGGGCAGGGTATTCCTCCTCGCACCCGCCCCCTTCCCTGCCGTAGCAGCCCGCCAAGAGGACACAGCCTAGCCGTAGCGACTTCAGTTGCCAGATGCTGGCTCGTTGTGGGCATCCTTGTCACTACAACCTGCGGCAGCATTCGTGTGCGCAAGTGCATGCAAATCTACAGAACACTTGCTTGAGATCGGAGGGCTCGTGCGCCCCGTGCCATGCCGTGATGCAGCTGTGCTGCCAGGCCTCGAAGTGTTTGGTAGCCATGAACTTAGCTTTTCCCCCCGCTTACAAGCGGTGCTGAGAAACTGCATAGTCCGCTGTGTAGTGCGGGTGTTCCTCATTCATGTCGTGTGTCAAGCTGCGTGACGGAGCATCCTTACAGAGGCACGTGTTTCTGATGTTCTTCTGGCATCCGCTTGCTTTGATGGTCCCTTGAGGAGGTCTGTTTCAGGACTCTTGTTTTTTTTGGTATATGTGTGTGCGCATGTTTTAATGCTTTTTTGTTCTTCCCACCCTCGGTGTTAAACTACCCAGAGAAACCCCAGAATGACCCCAGAGTATTCACAGGATCCTTGAGGGTTCACGGGGGGGGGGTTAGGTACCTGATAAACCTCAAGAATTCTTAGGCAGCCTTGGGCCGAAACCCCCCCGTCCCTCAACCTCCCTTCAGTAAGAAGAGTTTGTGTCCTCAGAGCATCCTGGAGTCCCCCCTGATTGCAGAGTTCTCCGGAGTGCTAAGTTCAGAGAAATCCCCTGGAGTGCCCAACCGCGAGGTTTTTTGAGAGAATTCCCAGAAGCCCTGCAGGGCACAGCCCCAGAATATCCCCCCAAAATTTCTGCAGTCCCTGGATTGCGGCTCGCAGGACTGCAGCGGCTTAGCGTCCGGATTTTTGAAGGTCCTGAAACCCTAAACCCTAAATCCTAAACCCTAAACCGCATGGAGAGGGATCTGCACTTGGGGGGATCTTCCATGTGGCATGCAGCCATTTCAGCTCCTTTTTGTAGGCCAGCTGCTCGAAAGTCTCACCAGACTGCAAGTTAGCCTAAACACTACCAAGCTGCAGAAGGCCAGCACAAATTCTGCCAGGAGCACCATGGTTTGACATGATGCGCTTTTTTCTGGGGGATATCGTGGGGTACGAAACCCGAGGATGATGCCTGTATGCCTCTGGGATTTTCAATATGTACCCTACACCCTAGACCCGAAACCCTAAGCCCTTAGACCCTAAACCCTAATGCACAGCCTCCACCCCACCTCAGCTTATGAGGGCCTCTACATCTTCCGTAGCACCTCGCATGCGACACACCACGGCCCACGGCCCGGCGCATGATGCCCGAGGTGGGGAGTTCAGACCATATACGTATATATGTATACATAAATATATGTAAATATATACATACACACGTATATATATATACACATATGTATGTATATATGCATGCATGTACTTATTTTTTCCAGATATAGTTGTTGGATATTCTTAGCAAGCATAGAATGGACACCTATATACCCTGGAGGCGCCTAGACGCTTTTTAACAGCGCAAACCCTGTAAGCCCTACAAGCCCAAAAAACCCTGCCATTTCAATATCCCAGTTACCCTTTATACCCTGTCAACTGTCAATCCTAAACCCTGAGCCCTAAACCCTAAACCCTGCAAACCCTGACCCTAAACCCTAAACCCTAAACCCTAAACCCTAAACCCTAAACCCTAAACCCTAAACCCTAGACCCTAGACCCTAGGGTCTAGGGACCCTAAGCCGGCCGGCTAGGCTGCGTCGTGGGAGCCCGGCCCTGAGCCGGAGCCGTGCCTTCTTTGGTTTGGCCCTTGACTGCTGCTGTGGGACATGTGTTGGGTCTTAGGGTTTAGGGTTTAGGGTTTAGGGTTTTTAGGGGGTTCGGGGTTTCGGGGTTTCGGGGTTTCGGGGTTCGGGGTTTCGGGGTTTAGGGTTCCAGGGTTTAGGGGTTCAAGGGTTCAAGGCTTTAGGGTTCAGGGTTTCAGGCATCAGGGTAGTCCTTTGAAGACGTGAGCGTGCGACGGCGAGTTGGGAGCAACGTAGTTGCGGGTTCGACGGTTTGGGAACGGCATCTTGGCCTGTTCTTGGAAGACTCTGGCGGAAATATTGGGGCGTGGCAGCTTCAGCATTGACTTGCAAGCCTGATGCCGGGCTCTTACAGTTGCATCGCCCAAGGGTCTTTCGACTTGGTGTTCGGAGGTTAACGTCGGGTTCGGCGGAAGCTGCGTGGAAGTGGGAGGAGGGCTGCTCTTGAGGACAGGTCCCGGAAAGTGCCAGGGAGCTCCCGACCCCTCAAGGAGTCCGCCCACCAGAAACCTCTAGAAGTGCTGACGCTCGATCTGCAGCAGCCTGACCAGGTCACAGTTGGACGACCTGCGACAGAAGGCGGAGGCAAAGCTCACAAAACACCCTCAGCTGCAGCGCTTGGGACCAAGGGATACCAAGGGAAAGAGAACCCCCCCCCCCCCCAGGATCAAAGCAGCATGCAGCATGCCAACCCAAAACGCCCACACAGAAGTGACACGTTTGCCCTTTGGGTGTTTCTATTTCGCGGAACAGAGAAGCCAAGCGCAAGGCCAGAGCATCACAAAGGGACCTTAAGGGCAACGTTCTGCAAAGAAGTCCTCAAGAAGCCCATAGAAGCAGCTTGTTAATCAAGCAATATGGCCCCTTCTGGCCCGCCTTGGATCCTTATCAACGTAGTGGTCGACTTCTTATGCTTGTGTCTCATACCCCCCACCCCGGGCCTACAAAGGGCACGGAAGATTTCTACTGGCGGCCCACGATATCTCTTCAAATTTGCTTTCGGAGTTCTCTGAGCAGGCACTGCTGCAGCAGCTGCGGCAGCGGCAGCTGGCACGGCTGCAGCTCCTGCAGCGTCTGGAGCAGTTGGAGGGGGGCATCTGGGGGCTACTTCTCACAGCCTTGCTGGCGGGCCCTTTTTTTTTTCTCTCATTTTCGGCTTCGTGCACAAATTTCTGGGTGAACCCTATGGCCTCCGAAGCTTCGCATGCAGAGCTCGAGGAGCCGCAGGCTGCGCCAGGCTTGGCCGGCGTCCACCAGGCGTGTGGGGTGGTGAGGGTCTATAGGGCAGCATAGGCAGCGTAGGCAAGGCAGCTAAGGCAGCGTAGGCCTTGACAGCAGGTTTCCTAGTTTTGTCCAGATCCTAAGGCACGTAGTCTGCCTGTTTGCCTGTCTGCCTGCCTGCCTGGCTGGCTGGCTGCCTGTCTGTATGTCCTTATGTATCTAAGGATGCTTACACATACACAGATCCATGGATGCATGTATGTTTGCCTGCATGCGTGACTGCCGCCTGCCCGCCTGCATACATGTATGTAGGTAGGTGGGTAGGATTGGGTCGACAGGTATGCGCGTATGCCTGCGAGTGTGTGGGGGTTTTGTATATAACCATTCCGTGTCCATGTGTATGTGCGTATACCTGCTGGTATACACTACACACATCGGTGGCTATGAGTGTGCACTCACATGCATCAGTGCATGGTTCTGACACGTGGTATTTGCTGGGCTCTCTCGTTGCTTTCACTCCCAAGCCGACCAGGGCATGCAGTCATCTCTGCTCACCCAGGATTCTGGGTCCTTCGCCTAAGATTCGGAGCCATGAGCCGCGGAGTCTGGAGCCTGCTTTTGGCTGCGAGCTTGTGGTGGCCTTTCCCTTGCAATGGCCAAAGCTGCCTGCTGCAATACAAGACCGACACGGAGACCACACACCAGACATACCAGGCTCAGGCGCAGGCATTGGGAGTTGGGGGAAGGAGCTGACGTAGCCAGCGTCCCTTCTTATAGGCTGTAGCGAAGCTAAGTACGGCACGGCAGTGCTCGTCGCTCGTACCCTCCTCGTTCCTCAAAGCAGGTTGGCATGGAACTGGTCGTGCCGATTTACCAGTGGCCGGCACCACTGGCTGGTTCTATGTACGAACAAGTGGCAACGTCGTCGGCGCGCTCAACTACGATCATCAATCCAGGCAATGGACTTGCTAACCAATGCCAGGGTTCTTTGCCCTTGGACCCCGTGTGGAGACCTGTGGTCACCTTGTTTGATAGCAACCCGCTCGCACGCACAATTGGGTACGTCTACAGTCAGTGGGGCAGCCATTCTTTGGCCGTGGTCAAGCAGTCCATCGACAACTACTTCGCCTGCTTCGATGTTGCAGGGATCTTCGTGGACGAAACTGCCACAGATCCCAGCAAATGCAACGGCAATGATGCCTACTACGACCAACTCTACGCCTATGTGAAAAGCAAGGACCCCTCCGCCGAGGTCATGTGCAACCCTGGCACAGGCGGGATTCTAGACAAATCAGGGAGTGACAAGCGACAGCAGGGGATGTTGAAAGCAGCCCTGATCCCTGTGTACGGGAGATTTCAGGCTTCGACTATGAGTCTTGGAAGCACTGCTGTGATCGGGCAATGGTTGTCGAAGTGTCGCTGAGCTCCTTCACCAGCGGCTTCAAGGATCCCAGCCCTTTCACCGGCCCCACAGGGTATCCACCTGGCTTTGCCGTGGTGCTTGCGCTCTTGTTTGCATTGCTTGCACTGCTTGGTCCTGTTGATTTAGAGGACTTCGGGTCAGAGAAGACGTAGCCGCACCGAGTCCTGTTCCGAAAGCGGGTCCTGCAGAGAGGGCTCGAATTTCAGTGGTCGTGTAAGCATGTCTGGGGTTGGGTTTCCCGACAACTAAGCAGTTTCTCCTTCTGCAGCGGAGGTCTATGGGGTGCCTGGCGTGGCGGAGATGCAGCAAGTGGTACGCCGGGCAGCATGCAGCAATTTCACGAATGCAGACGGGATATGGGTATTGGAAGAGGGCGGCGGTGGAATTCTGCCAGGATACACGACGATGCCGGGCTATTTTGCACAGCAGGTGGACTTCGTAAAGACGGCGATAGAGCCAGAGTGCCCGCCGCCTCCCGCCCCACCAGTTTACACCCAAGCCCCAAGTGGGGGGAGTTGTTGGTTCAATCCCAATGACCTCAACTGCGAGATTTGCTTCCCGGGCTACAACCAGTGCTCTTGGCAGGGATGTTCCTTGGCTCTTTGCAGTTTGTTTGCGTGGTTCCTGCTTTGGGGTTTAGGGTTTAGGGTTTAGGGCTCAGGGTGCTTTGGGGTCCTCTTCTTCATAGAGATTGCTTGGGGTGTACAGGCTTTGTATAAATTAGTGTCTGTGGAAGTGTGGAGCACAAATGTTGTGTCGCGTGCCAGGTTACAAGCACCAGTGCTCTCCAAGCGGTGGAAGTGCTTGCACAAACCCTTGTTCGGGTACCTGAGTTGGGCCTGGATTGCACAACCTCATGGTGCAACAGCATCAAATGCAGTTCCCCAGAAGGACGAAGCCTTCCCAGTGACAGCCGGTTTCTGCACGCCACGAAGTCTAACTGGATAATTAGATCCAAAACCCTAAACCCTAAACTCGAAACCACAATAGTGTGGCCTGGATCGATTGGGCTGCCTGCAAAAGTCTACAGAGCCGTTCTTGCACGATCTATCCTGAAAAAATTGCGTCTGTTCTGAAGCATTGAACCTTGGTCCCTAAACCCTAAGCCCTAAACCCTAAACCTTAAACCCTAAAACCCATCTAGACCCGCTCCCAACGCCCGACTCTAAGTCCTACCTTGGATCTCAAGACGCATCTCAGGCTGAGACACATTGCGCCGGCATAAGCCCTGGCTTAGAGAGAACGGAGAGGTGGCCCTCATATCAGAACAAGCTCGGAAGCTTTCAGAAGAAAGCAGGTTGGAAAAACACAAAAAACCAACTCATCAATGAGAGGCGGCCGATTCAGCTGCAATAGTGCTTAATTCGGCCGGATTTGCCGCGTTGCAGGCCCGCTCGCAAGTGGTTGTAATCCTCTTGAGGGAGTGTCCGATCCTTGCCACCTGAAGCCACGGCCCCCTGCGTGAAGTCCTCGGGAATGAAGTCCTCCGACAATGTTTCAGCTGTTGCTCCGCCAAGAACCCATAGGTTATTGGTGCTTATCCGCTGGGATGTTCCCCCTTATTGCTAACAGTTACTCACAGTCCTTAGTAGGGATTATGGTACCCCCCCTATTGTAATCCCTATTAAGGACTGTTAGTATAAGGGGGAACATCCCAACTCATCAGCTTTTGCACCAACCCCCAAACCCCAAACCCCAAACCCTAAGCCCTAAGCCCTAAACCCTAAACCCTAAACCCTAAACCCTAAACCCTAAACCCTAAACCCTAAACTCTAAACCCCGAACCAGGCTGTTGGTGCTTATCAGCTCTTCCACGTGCTGTTGCTGCATGCCTTTCGGGTTGTGAAAGAGAGCGATCCAGGACTCGGCGGCACCTGCTGCCCTTGGCCGTCGCCTCATGTGTCTACCCAGGGTTTAAGTGGTTGCAGAGCGGGTTAAGGTTTAGGGTTTATAGGGTTTATAGTAGGGTTTCTAGGGTTTATAGTAGGATTAATAGGGTTTATAGGGTTTATAATAGGGTTTCAGGGTTTTAGGGTTGAGGTGGGGTTTAGGGCATCCGGCTCCACCGAGGGCACAGAAACGCCTCAGAGCTCAGGGAAGACTGGAAATGCAAAGGTTCGCGAACTTCGAAGTGTCTTCCCCCAGCCGAAAGCCTCCTCCCCCAAAAATGCGCTTTTACTTTCCTGTCTTGCTGCGGCCGCTTCTCCCCCCAAGGTCGCCTCTCTCGGCCTCCTGGCCCGCCTGTGGCGGAGGGCGGTAAAGGCAGCGTGAGAAAAGTGCGGGGTGCGCAGGGCTCGGCCAACCCCTGCAACCAGGCTGAGTTGAGGCGCTGCCGCTCCTTGAGCGTCAGCCTGAACTTGGGAAGTCCCCGAAAACAGCCCGGCAAGATTAGCGCCTCCCCCCCCCCACGTCTCTGCAGCCCTTCAGCCCTAAACCCTTGAGCTCCAACCCCTAAAGCGAAGTCAAGAAGGCCACGCTCCATAGCACTCATCTAGGCCTCACGCCCCCACGGCGCCCGGCTGATCTCCCCGGTTCCCCGCTGATGGCCGGAGGATCAAGTTTGGGATGCCTTTCGGGTATCCTCAGAGCTTGTGGCGCAGGAGTTTTGTGAGGACCTTGGGGTGGTGGAGTTTGGGGAGTTCACGAAGAGCTAGGGGAGCGAGGCTTCTTTTTTTTTTTCATGTCCATTTTTTGTTGAAGACTTCGGGGCAGACATTAGACTCTTAGACTCCGCTTGGCCGCGATGGATGCGGCCAGCGGCCCCGACCTCCCTGCCGGGCCCGGGGAGCGCTACATCGCGGAGACCCTGACCCCTGTGACCACGGAGCTCCTGAGGGATCTGCTCGACGAGATGCCCGAGGCGGGAGGCGTCGCCGTGTCTTCGCACGTCTTCTGGCTGGTTCTGAGTAGGAGTGAAGGGAACGAGGAACCCTACATAATCCCTTAAAGGGTATATATATATATATATATATATATATATATATTGATTGGGCCCTAATCCCTTCATTCCCTACTGCGAACCAGGGGGTTCTTCGCGCAGCCCTTTCAGCAGCGATTCCCAGGACCCGGAGGCCTTCATGCTGTCTTGGCTCCGCGGCCATGCCGGTCTTCCGGGCGGCGCCGCCACGTCGCTGCGGCACCGGAACGAGGTCTTGAAGGAGGAGGGCCATCTTCGAAATATTTCACATATAATCATGTTTTATATACATACATGTATATATATATATATATAGATATGTATGTGCATATATGTATGTATGTATATACATATGTATAGTTTTCTCCGAGGATTAGCTTCGCTCGATGGAGGGTTCGGTTTTTCATCTTGCACACCTGGTGCTCCGCGTCAGGAGCTTGCGGCGCTGCGGGGCCGCTTGGCAGCCACGGCGGCCCGAGCGCAGGCGCCGCAGGCCTGCCAGAGGGGGCGGCTATATGGGGAGTTCTTCGGCTGGGGATGTCGATGTGGGGGGCAGCATCCGACGGGCCCCTAATATTCGTCAGCAAATCAAGCCCACGATCTCAACACAGAATTTATTTGAACACGCCTGAGGTGGAGGCCCCTGCAGGGACTGCTGGCACGGAGGAGAGTGAGCTGGGATGGCCAAACTCATTTGTGTGTTTTTGGGCGACCAGCCTTCCAGCACCGGTGCGAGTAGGACAGGTTTTTCCTTAAGGTGGTGCATGAAGCTTGAACTACGCGATCGTCAGGGCATGTCGTAGTCTTCAACTGGCTGAGAGCTCCTCTACGGTTCGTGTTGAGGAGGCGAGGCCACAACATGACGCTCCGGAGGCGCGGGGCGCCAGCAGATGGGGTTTAGGGTTCAGTGTTTCGGGGAAAAAAGCGCCTCTACGGCAGGTGTGGTTTGGTTTGGGCCGGCGGTTGGGGCGCCGAGTCTGAGCTGTCATTGTAATTGTGCAGGGCAGAGTGGGTTCTCGACTGCAGCCCACCAGCTTTGTAAGGGTACTTGATCGGCTTGCAGGCGTTTAGGGCATGGTCTGAGCCAGCAAAGCACCTCAATGTAATGTGGACATAAACCGCCGGTGCCTCCGATTTGCTTCGCAGGAGAAGGCGCCGGACGATGCTCCGGGCACGGAGCTCCCCATCACGCAGCTCCCTGGCGACCTCCAGGTGCTCTGTCCGTGCTTTTGCGGCAAATCAAAGTGAGTCGGCGGCAGAGAGCCGAGATGTTGCCAGCCTGAGCTGTCCGCCAGGCTGACCAAAGCGCTAGAAGGATCTCAGCAGCCGCGCTCCGCGAGATCGTCCGTTGCCTTCCAGGTCGCCCAGAGACCCCGCCACCGCGTGACCGTGTGGTGCCATGTCGTGCCCTGCTGATTGCGGGAGGCGACAGTTTCACCGAGGAACTTCAGGCCCCGGTCAGCAGCGTGCCAGCACTTAGTATCCCTCGGTCGAAGCCAGTCTGCCAGGGCATTTTGCAAGAAGTTCCCAGCGACAGCCGGGCGCCGAGGGTTCCAAACCAGCCTTCGAGACCTATATCCAAGCCCTGCAAGCCCTCAGCAGCAACATGCATCACCTTTCATTCATGCATCCACAGCTTATGGCTTTTTCAGCTTCTCTCCTGAAGATGTCAGTCAGGGTTTGAAGGTGTGATGCATCAAGCTTTGCTCGGGTATGTACTTCGTATCTCTCCGTATAGCCCGTAAATTATTCCGGGGACCCAAGCTTCCGGAAGCGCCCGAGGTGAGGTGCTGCTGAGCCTCCAGTACTCCGTAGGACCCAAGACCGTTGCGCGGGCTTGGAGGGTGGACCCCGTGCTGCCGGCGCAGTTCGGTGGCAGCTCTAGGGGCGTGCTCAAGAACGGTTTGTCGTGAGCTGTCATGCGAAGCTTTTTGTGAAACATGTGTGTCTTCCATGCGATTCTACACTTTTTTGGGGAGACTCCTTGTTCCGAGCCGTCACGGGACTCCGCTCGGAGTATCCTGAGAGACCTGCTGCCAGGCCTCCGAGTCTGCGAGCAAGGCGTGCGCCGGCCTTGTCTGTGACTGCGTTGTCCTGCCATGTGCCTGCAATTGCTGTGGTTTGCAGCGAAGCCGCAGTGCGACGACCTGCACAAGAAGCAGCTGGCAGATTTGGTGATGAACGCGAACATCAGCTTGGTGGGGCGAGGGGCGGGGATGGTGTCGTAGGGCGTGTTTTTTTGGAGCTGGTAGTCTGCCCGTAAAGTTGCCACGTGGGATTGTGGGTTGCAGGAGCACTCCGGGGCTCTGTTCATTCCGTCCAAAACAAGCAGTATATGTAGAATAATCATCTCCCGTATGGGTCAGTATACTGCGCGGGCCGGACAAGTCTCGCAGAAGAAGCCATCTCACTGTATGGATTATAGTTACGGGTGCTGGTGGGAGCTGCCCGCTGCACTTGTAGGCCAAGGCCAGAGTTGAGAGGTGAACTGAAGGGGGTTGCTGCCCCTCCCAAGCCTCGGCCAGGGTCGACGACCCGAAGAAGAAAAAGATCTCCGCAGACGCCCTCTGCACCATCCTACAGAGCCTTCCAGGCGGGACGTTTCCGAAGTATCTTTGCGCCAAGCTTCGAAAGACGTGGCAGCACCATAGCCATGTGTGCATGAACCGCTGGTGACTCGGGCCCCGAGGCGGTCTGAGCGCGGATGAAGTGCAGGCGTGTGAGTGACAGTAAGCGACATGCCCAGCCTCATCCCTCCTGCCCGCAAACATATGCAAACTCCCAGGCCAAGTTGCAAGAGGCTCTTGGCGATGGCCGGACACCCGGACACGCACCTTCGTAGAATGGGACGGGGGCGGGAGAGAGGGTTGAGAGCTCTGGGTTTCCGCTTCTGCGGGAAGCAACTTCGCCCGAGAGCTGCAGAGCAGCGCACACTCCGCATCTGTAGGTGTGCGTCGCGGTGCAATCAAACTTCTCAGAAAGCGCTCAGGAAGCAAAGTTCCCGGCCACAACTGCCGAGGCGCTGGGCTGAGCTGCCAGGCCCTGGCACGCTGCCTGGGCCCGCAGCCGCCAGAAGCCGAGGAGGAGGCCGACAGCGCCAGAAAGGGATCCGAAAAGAGAGGGGATATGAGAGGACAATCAGTACCAGTAGCTGTTCTTGCTGCATCAGCTTCGCACCGCCTCCCCGAAAGACAGCCCCCTTTGCGTCAAAAGGCGCCACCGGAGACGTACGACCTTGCAGACAAGATGCAGCTGGCAAAGTTCCTCAAGAGTGCGAACATCCGCCTGGTGCCGCCGGGATACGGGGGCTCTCCCAGTTTGGGTTGACGTCCCTTAGAGGATCAGTCTTTGTCCCCTGCAAGCTCAGCTTCGTGTTTTGGTTTGGTCATGGTTGGCCGGGGCTCAGTTCTGATTGCTGTTGTTTTATGCCCAAGCCTGAAGCCCAAACCCCGGCATTTTTCCATTTTTAAGCAGCGATAAACGCCGTTCTGCACTCCTCGCGCTGCTAACCTGCGCCCGACGAATCTCACGAGTAAGCGCAGTCTCAGCTCATATTGCCTTCTTGGAGTCCTCTCTCATATCCCATCAGTATCAGAAGCCAGTGCTGCTCTAGCTCAACCTGTCTGTTGAAGAGGCTCTCCAGCTTCGGAAAGCTATAGCTTGGACTAGCTTGGTAAGCCTGCGGCTCCTAAGGTGCGTGCGGGATTCTTACAGAAGCTCCACCACACAGGCCGCTGCGTGCCTTCAGATCTCTTTCCCTCTTCTCTATCTCTGCCTCTACCTCTATAGCTTTCTCTTTCTTTCTTTCTTTCTTTCTTTCTCTCTCTCTCTCTCTCGCTCTCTCTCTCTCTCTCTCTCTGGATCCCTCTCTCTCCCTCTCCCTCTCCCTCTCCCTCTCCCTCTCCCCCTTGCCTCCTCCTCTCATTCGTTTCTCTGTCTGAGACACTTTCCGGCCATCACAAGAGGCCAGCGCCTCCCGCGGCGCCAGGAGGCCGAGTTCGCCTACGCCGGGAGCCGCACGGCGCTGGTCACACACGAGGAGGCACAGCATGTTCAGGGCTCTCCTCTTGTCCTTCCCATCCTCAAAGAAGTGCACTTCTACCATATCGCCCTCCTTTCTCTGTAGGTGGAGGACTGGGCCCACGGCCGGCCAACTGAGATCGGAAGGATCGTCTCACTGTCGCACTGCTGGGAAGCCCGGGAACACCCGGATCCCTATGGCTACCAGCTTGAGAAGCTCGCAAGGAAGCTGCAGGACCAGGATTGCGTCTTTGTAGACTACACGTCCCTCTTTCAGTTCAAACGGATGCAGAAGGCCCAAGATGAGAGCTTCCGGCGGGCCATGCAAAACATGCACGTCATGTATGCGCAAGAACACACTCGCACGCTGCGTATCGAGACTTTGACCCCGGAAGAGCGTCTGAGGAAAGCCTGGTGCAACCAAGAGCACATTTGTGTGTACCACGAGCCTAGTGGTTGCGTCAGACCCGTGCCCGTGGTGGAATTGGTTCAAAACCGCACTCCCTACCACCGGCGCGGGTGGTGTGCCGCGGAGCATCAGTGGTCGAGCACCCGATCGGCCAATAGCCTGTCAGAAGAGGTCGACCACTCAGAAGCGGACCAGGCCGGCGTCGCCCCCATGGATCCGGAGACCTTTCGGCAAACCATTGGGGACACGCTGCAATTCACGCACCGAAGCGACGCCGACGCAGTGCTAAACCTGCAGAAGCGTGTTTTCGAAGAGAAGGCGAGGAGCTGCAAAGCGCTCAAGCTTGCCCATCTCAGCGCCGAGGGGTTGCGCGTAGGGCTGAAGTCTCTGGACGAGTACCCGCAGCTGGAGAGTCTCGGTGCGCAAGCAGTCCCCCGTACGCTTCGGCCTGATTCAGGGTGGCCCGTGCAACCCACACAGTGCTTCCTCACCATCCCGGAGAAAACGTAGAGTTTTCTCCTGCTCCCTGGACTTATGCGCCGCACCCAGGAGCTTGGCGATCCTGGAGAGCGACCTCATGCCCAACTTCCAACTGCTGCTTCAGGTGCCCGCGTGCTAGAAGTTGATCCGTAGCGTGCCGCACACGATCACCTTTTGGAGAGGTCTTGGCCTCGAAGGCGCTGGCAGCGCTCCACCTGGACCACGTCGGCCTCACTAGCGAAGGCATCCGTCAGCTGACGGAGGCAAGTGCAGCAGTGCAACTACTGATTCTTGAGGTTTGTAGGAGGTTTCCAGTGCCTCGTCACCTCGTCGCCCTGCCAATAAGGGCCATCGCAGTTTGAGATTTTGCGTTGGGCATCCGACATGAACGAAGCAGGCAGTGGCATTCCCTATGTTCCTTGTCGCCAACAGGTACAGTATGTTCCTAGCTCCCCTGGTTCCTGCTGGAACTCTTCTTTGCGCGACCTGTCTCGTGCAGGCACTCGCGAAGACGGAGACGCTGACGCGGCTGGGCCTCCGTGGGAACCAGATCACGGAAGAGATCGCCTTTGCCCTGCTGAAGGCGCGCCGTTGCCTTCGCAACGAATCAGTTTTGACATGTGTTGACGATGCATTCTGGCACCAGCAGCGTGCCTCAGATTTTGAGGATTCTGCAACGATCTGTTGAGTCAGGTGCTGCAGACGCACCGGACGATGACTGAGATTGACCTTGCCGACAACGAGATCGGCAGAGCCACGCTTGCCATGGTAAGGGCCGGCCTAGACAAGCAGGCCGACTGCTCTGACCCGATCTTCCCGAAACCCCGCTAGAAGCGTTGTGTGAGACATGTGAGACCGCAGGTCACCTGCTGCAAGTGCCATCACCCCGATGTGGACTTCCTCGTTAGCAGAATGAAGGCTTGGCGCCGCAGAAGCAACATATGACGTGGTGAGCCTGTTCTTGTTGCCCCTGTTCACACGCCAAAAGGCGCTCCGGCCAAAACACGTAAACCCAAGACTCTGCGAGCGAAGAGAGGCCGGGAGCCAGAAGGAGCTGCTGGAGGAGGGCATACTCAGCCTGGAGCTGGAGAGCCGCAGCCTCAGTTGTGACCTCACGTTGCCTGGCCGTTGCGTTGCAGCCTGTTTTTGCCCAGGCAAGGAAGACCTGGAGCGCCTCCCCACACTCTTCTCTCGGGATTTGGGCGAGCCAATACAGCGGCTTCGACTCGGCCTTGCACAATTGGAGTGTGGCCCTCGCCTCAGGCTGGAGCAGAGAAACGCTGCTGAGTAAACAGATTTGTTTTGGTGGGTGGCTTCCTCCTCTTTTTTTCGCGGGATCTCACGACGCTACTCGCTACTCGCTTGCGTGCTCACCATGCACTTGTGACTTGTGTGCCCACGTTTACACTCCGTCGGCGGCCGGTCATGCGAATCTGGGCCCTCGGAACGAAAGGTTCGAGAGAGATTTTGATTATGAGGCTGCTGTGACCAAACCATTTTTTCAGTTTGAATCCGATCCTGCTTTGGTGCGGCTTGGGGGGTGGAGGGAGCGGGAAGGGCTGAGCTGGAAAGCGTCGGGCAGCTGCCTTGGGAGTACAATGCATCTTTTGTACACTCTTGGGGGGGTCTTCCGGCCCTGTCAGAAACCGTGTCGGGGATAGCCAGCCCGAAAACAGTTAGAGAGGCGCAGGGTGAGAGGTGGCCGACTCAGGAAGCCACCGCGATAGGTTTCAGGCACTGCGAGCACCGAGAGCATCGGGAGCACCGGGAGCACTGGGAGCACAGGAGCTGGAAGCGACAGGGCCCTATGACGCCTGGATGTCTACTTGCCAAAAGCTTTGATTTTCATAAACGTTTTCGTTGTGGCGCGTGCGAGGTTTGTAATTCAAGAGCCTTTATCGAAGCATGTCAGAAAAAGCGTTCCGGGAACGGCCAGAAAGTGTCACAGTCTGGCAAAAATAGCTAGGGAGGGGAGCCGGGTTCTGGAGAGCAATCTTTGCTCTTCGGAGAGCTGAGAGCTCGAAGCGCAAGGCTGCTTGAGGCGGTTGAGGGCCAACTCCGGTTTTGAACGTCCCCGGCGTCGAGAGTTGAAGGGAAAGAGGGAGACGGATCTGCAATGAGCCGCTCGGAAATGTCGCCTCCCAACTGCAGCCTCATCAGAATGGCAGCCGAGTAGGGTTCGGGATCCTGCGCCCCCAACAAGTGGGGGCGAGCTCCACTGCCTTGAGACATCTTGAGACCGAAGACTTCCTCCCACCGAGGCAAGGAAGGCTGCGAGCACCTGGCCAGCGCACTGGGCCACCTCACGCAGCTCCGAGAGCTCAGCCTGGACCTGAAAGCGAACAACATCGGCCCGGGGGCTCGGAGTGCTTTTCGGGCCGGGGGTGGGGTGGGGTGCCCACCCAAGGTTCCTTAGCTAGTTGCTGCATGGCTGATTCGTTTTTTGGAGAAGGTACAGAAACAACATAAACATAAGGGAGCAAAAAGCTCATGTTCACTCTTCGGGGCCCGGGAGTTTCAGTGGCTTTCCCTCCCTAGTCAATTAAAGGCTTGCCCTTGGGACCGAAGTGAAAGGAATCGAGCGACGAGAGCGCGCGGAACGCGCACAAAGACTCACGGGTCACAACTCCGGGCGCCGTTCAGCGAGTCCCATCCGAATTCTTCCATCCCGAAAGTCTAAACAAGGCGCAGCTGAAAAGCCGCACGGCGCTCTCATCTCAAGCCTAAACCCCCCTAGCGACCCATCTAAGCCCTCTATACAGCGCCCAAACCCTGAAACGCTAAGTGTAACAAAGGGACGCAGGTATCACTGAGAGAGCAAGAAAAAATGAGGGGCGACCTTCATTGCCTTGGAGCGACGACTTCATCCTAACCCTCAACTTCAGTTCTGAAGGTCGCCCGCTCATTGGGGGTTGAGCCGTCAGTCCGATGACCTGCGCGGGTTCATCGGGGTGCTGGAAAGGACTGCGTGAGCAGCTATACTGCATTTTTAGAGGCAGATATAAGACCTTCCAAGCCCTTGAAGGCCACCCCAAGTTCCAACTCTAGTCTGAAGCTCCCAGTTGAGAGGGCCTTCCAACTGGCTTTCTTCAAGTCGGTTTTAAATTCCCCCAATCCGCCGCCTCCCAAGGTGACGACGGCTGCCAGCAGGTGGCCGCCGGCGCCCTCGGCCGCCTCGCGCAGCTCGAGAAGCTGAGCGTGAACCTGCAAATGAACCATATCGGCCCGGGGACCCGGAGCGCTTTCGGCCATGGCGGTTTTTCCCACCCGTTCAGGTTGCTCCAAGCGGGTACTGCACCTAGGCATTCCAGCAGAGGATGCAACAGGCCCCCGGCGCCCTTTTGCCACACAGGGTTGAACAGCAATCCAACGCTTTTCGGAGAGCCGAGAGCTCGAAGCGCAAGGCTGGTGGAGGCGGTTGAGGGCCAAGTCCAGTTTTTGAACGTCCCTGGCTCCAAGTGTGGTTTGGGACAGGGCGTAGGATCTGCAGCGAACCGCTCGGAAATGTCGGCTTTCAAGGGCAGACTTCAGCTTCAGAATGGCAGTCGAGTCGGGTTCGGGATCCTGCGCCCCCAAGAAGTGGGGGACGAGCTCCACCTGCCTTGAGACATCTTGAGACCGAAGACTTCCTCCCTCCCCACCGAGGCAAGGAAGGCTGCGAGCACTTCGCCAGCTCACTGGGCCACCTCACGCAGCTCCGAGAGCTCAGCCTGGACCTGAATGAGAACCGAGTCGGCCCGGGGACTCGGAGCGCTTTTCGGGCCAGGGGTGGGGTGGGGTGGGGGTCTTTTTGCCCACTCAAGGTTCCTTTAGCTAATTGCTGCATGGCTGATTTGTTTTTTGGAGAAGGCCGCATGAAATCTTTGGCTTGCATGTTCATAGCAGATGTGAACGCAAGAAACATCGTAAACATAAGGGAGCAAAAGAGCTCATGTTCACTCTTCGGGGCCCGGGAGTTTCAGTACTCAGTAGCTGTCCGTTCAGTCCACGGTCCTTAGTCATTTGAAGGCTTGCCCGAAGTGAGTGGAATCGAGCGACGAGAGCACGCGGAACGTGCACAAAGACTCACGGGTCACACATGGTCACACTGAACTCCGGGGGCCGTTCAGCGAGTCCCATCCGAATTCGTCCATCCCGAAAGTCTAAACAAGGCGCAGCTGAGAAGCTGCACGGCGCTCTCATCTCAAGCCTGAACCCCCTAGACCCATCTGAGCCTTTTATGCGGCGCCCAAACCCTGAATCGCTAAGTTTAAAAAAGGGACGCAGGTGTCAGTGAGAGAGCGGGAGAGAAATTGAAGTTGCGTCTCCGTAGAGTTGTGACATAGTGTGACAGTGAATGTATTGAGATCAAACCGCGTGGTACAGGGCCTGGCGGGAGACGTTTGAACACTCCTGTAGGAATTCAAAGGAGAGATAAGGTACCGGTATACCCTGACTTCCCTTACCACGGAAGCTTGCAAGTGAAAATAGGATTTTGTGTAGTGTTCATGACAAATTCCTTGTAATATCATGCATGACTTTCCTTGTATTCACTTGTCGAATTCAGTAACCTTTTAAGACGCATGTCAGAGAAGTGTTCCGGGAACGGCCTGAAAGTGTGACAGCTCGGAAAAAAGCTAGGGAGAGGCTCTGGAAGTCACGGGGATTGAGAATCGGCCGATTCGGGGAGCAGGGTTCGGAGAGCAATCCCCCCGCTCTTCGCTGAGAGCGTGATGGAGGCGGTTGAGGGTTTTGAACGTCCCCGGCTTCGAGTGTCGAAGGGAAAGAAAGGGAGAGGAAGATCTGCAATGAACGTCGCATGCTCCGGGGGTTCATGCGGGGTCGGCTATTTTTAGAACGTGTTGGAGAGGCCCTAAAGCCCCTAAAGGCAGCCTCAGCTTCAGAATTGCTTTCTTCGAGTGCCCCCTCTAAAAAAGGCGGGGACATTGCCTTGGAGCGACGACTTCTCTCCCTTTCCACCCCATTGCAAGTCGGAATCCTAACTCTCAACTTCATTTCTGAAGGCCCCAGTTCAGAGGCCTTCCAAAAGCCCAACGACAGCTTGAGCTTCGGAATGGCCCCATTTTGTTTTTGGACCTTTGGCCTCCTGCTTCGAGTGTGGCGTGTCGGAGAAGGGCTCCAGCATTTGGGATTTGGCTACCAAGGAGGCCTGGGCTCCCGAGGTCCCAACTCGAGTTCTGAAGTTCCCAGCCTAGGGGGCCTTCCAACTGGCTTTGTTCCAGTGTTCAGGATTCCGCCCCCACAAGCAGGGCGGCTTCCGCTGCCTTGAGTGGAAGACTTCACCTTACCACGGCCTCCCAAGGCGACACCGGCTGCCAGCACATGGCCGGCGCCCTCGGCCGCCTCGCGCAGCTCGAGAAGCTGAGCGTGAACCTGAAAAGCAGTATCGGCCCGGGGACCCAGGGCGCTTTCGGCCATGGTGGAGTGGACTTTTCTTCCCACCCATTCAGGTTCCTTGAGGTGGAGTGGACTTTTACTCCCATCCACCTAGGCAAGGCATGGCAAGGCCAACGCTTGCTCTACTAGTCTCGAAACTGAAAACTTCGCTCGACCTGTGACTGTTGTTCTTAAATTAAGGGCACACCGGAGGTCTGGGGTTCACACATGTGATCTGGAAACATGAATATGTACTCATAAACAGTTTCACTGGAAACCTTTGAGTTTTGCATGTATTTGTTTTTGTTTTTCACTTGCCTTCGTGGAAATCCTCTTTTCTCCTGATTTCCATGCTCCCCTTAAAATTTTCAGTAGGTGGTCAGGAAAGTTTCGCTCGACCTGCGACGGCACACCGGAGGTCTGGAAGGTCTGGATTTCCTTTGTTCGTAGGCTGGGCGTGGTCAAGGGGCCCAGACACTGTGAGAGTAGCCGCGTGGCCATCTCTTCTTTCGGTGAGTGGCGGAGAGGTGGCCGATTCAGGAAGCAGGACGCAGCCACCGGGAGCACAGGGAGCACAGGGAGCACAGGGAGCACAGGGAGCACAGGGAGCACAGGGAGCACAGGGAGCACCGGGAGCATCGCAAGCCCCCCTGACGCCTAGATGTCCAACAAAATAGCTTTGGTTCTCATGTGTTCTCATTGCAGGGTGTGTGAAGTTCGTAATTGAGGAGCCTTTAACAAAGCATGCCGGAGAAGAAGCGTTCCGGGAACGGCCAGAACATGCCACAGCTCGGCCAAAAAAAACGATTGAGAGGCGGCCGATTCGGAGAGCGGGCTTTGAACAGCAAGCCCCCGCTCTTGTCGGAGAGTTCAGAGCTCGAAGCGCAAGGCTGGTGGAGGCGGTTCGAGGGCCAAGTCCAGTTTTGAACGTCCCTGGCTCCAAGTGTGTTTTGGGACAGGGCGTAGGATCTGCAGCGAACCGCTCGGAAATGTCGGCTCCCAAGGGCAGCCTTCAGCTTCAGAATGGCAGTCGAGTCGGGTTCAGGATCCTGCGCCCCCAAGAAGTGGGGGGGCGAAGTCCACTGCCTTGAGACATCTTGAGACCGAAGACTTCCTCCTCCCACCGAGGCAAGGAAGGGGTTCTCATTGACTCAGTGGGCATGCGCTGGCATGGACAGTTCGTATAGGCTTTCCCACACCCCTAAATCAACCACAGGGAGCACAGGGAAAACAGGGAACACAGGGAGCACAGGGAGCTAGAACCGACAAGGGCCCGTGACGCCTGGGTGTCTACAAACAGCTTTGGTTCTCACGCCTTTTCGGAGAGCTGAGAGCTCGAAGTCTCGGCAGGCTTGCCAGATAGCCTCCAAGGGCAGCTTAAGCTTAAGAATGGCTTTCTACGAGTTGGGTTCGGGATTCCTGAACTCCACCTGCCTTGAGACATGTTGAGACCGAAGACTTCCTCCCACCGAGGCAAGGAAGGCTGCGAGCACCTGGCCAGCGCACTGGGCCACCTCACGCAGCTCCGAGAGCTCAGCCTGGACCTGAAAGCGAACAACATCGGCCCGGGGGCTCGGAGTGCTTTTCGGGCCGGGGGTGGGGTGGGGTGCCCACCCAAGGTTCCTTAGCTAGTTGCTGCATGGCTGATTCGTTTTTTGGAGAAGGTACAGAAACAACATAAACATAAGGGAGCAAAAAGCTCATGTTCACTCTTCGGGGCCCGGGAGTTTCAGTGGCTTTCCCTCCCTAGTCAATTAAAGGCTTGCCCTTGGGACCGAAGTGAAAGGAATCGAGCGACGAGAGCGCGCGGAACGCGCACAAAGACTCACGGGTCACAACTCCGGGCGCCGTTCAGCGAGTCCCATCCGAATTCTTCCATCCCGAAAGTCTAAACAAGGCGCAGCTGAAAAGCCGCACGGCGCTCTCATCTCAAGCCTAAACCCCCTAGCGACCCATCTAAGCCCTCTATACAGTGCCCAAACCCTGAAACACTGAGTTTAAAAAAGGACGCTGGTGTCAGTGAGAGAGCGGGAGAGAAGTTGCGTCTCTGTAGAGTTGTGACGTGATGTGACAGTGGATTTATTGAGATCAAACCGCGACCGGGCCTGGCGGGAGACGTTTCTTCAGACGTTTCTTCACTTCTGTAGGAATTCAAAGGAGACATAAGGTACGGGTATACCCTGACTTCCCTTACCACGGAAGCTTGCAAGTGAACATAGGATTTTGTGTAGTGTTCATCAAAAAGTTCCTTGTAATATCATGCATGACTTTCCTTGTATTCACTTAGCCTTTAAGACGCATGTCAGAAAAAAGTGTTCCGGGAACGGCCTGAAAGTGTCACAGCTCGCAAAAAAGAGCTTGGGAGAGGCTCTGGAAGCCTCGGGGGATTGAGAGTCGGCTGATTCTGGGAGCAGGGTCCGGAGAGCAATCCCCCGCTCTTCGGAGAGCTGAGAGCATGGCGGAGGCGGGGGCTTTGAACGTTGAACGTCCCCGGCTTCGAGTGTCGAAGGGAAAGAAAGGGAGAGGAAGATCTGCAACGTCGCATGCTCCAGGGTGTATGCAGGGTAGGGGATTTTGAGAACGTCATAAAGCCCCCAAAGGCAGCCTCAGCTTCAGAATTGCTTTCTTCGAGTCGGGTTCGGGATCCGGGTCCCCCCCCCCCCCCAGTCGGAATCCTAAACTCTCAACTTCAGTTCTGAAGGCCCCAGTACAGAGGCCTTCCAAAAGCCCAACGACAGCTTCAGCTTCGGAATGGCCCCGTTCAGGATCCTGCCCCCCAAAACAGGCCGACCTCCTTCCAAAACCGGACTCGGAGCGCTTTGTGTCCAGCCAGGCTACTGAGGGCCTCGTACCAAAAGTCTAGGGTATGGAACAGGCCCGGGCTTTTCGTGTGAAAGCTTTTATGCTGAGCCCTTCTAGAATCTAGAAGGTTTCAACTTCCAGCGTAATGACTCGGAGTCGGCGTCAGCGGGCTCGCCGTCGGAAACCAAAGAGCTTACCACAAGTCGTTGCAGACAGCTGTACCCGATATGGTTGCAGTGGCCGGCTCCATGTAATCCTCTTTCGTTCCTTTTGCTTCATCCATGTAATTTGGGTCAGCTCCATCCATGTAATCTCCTCCTCCGTTCCGTTTGGTGTTACCATTTGTTTTGGACCTGTGGCCTTCTGCTTCGAGTTTGGGGTGTCGGATAAGGGCCCCAGCGTTTGGGATTTGGCTACCCAGCAGGCCTGCACTCCCGAGGTCCCAACTCGAGTTCTGAAGTTCCCAGCTTCCGCCCCCACAAACAGGGCGGCTTCCGCTGCCTTGAGTGGACGACTTCACCTTCCCACCGCCTCCCAAGGCGACGACAGCTGCCAGCACGTGGCCGGCGCCCTCGGCCGCCTCGCGCAGCTCGAGAAGCTGAGCGTGAACCTGCAAAGTAACCGTATCGGCCCGGAGACCCAGGGCGCTTTCGGCCATGGTGGAGTGGACTTTTCTTCCCACCCATTCAGGTTCCTTGAGGTACTGCGCCTAGGCAAGGCATGGCAAGGCCAACGCTTGCTTTACTAGTCTCAACTAAAAGCTTCGCTCGACCCGTGACTGTTGTTCTTAAATGAAGGGCACACCGGAGGCTTGGGGTTCATACATGCGATCTGTATACATATAACATGTACTCAGCAAAAGTTTCTCTGGAAATCTTTGAGTTTTGCATGTATATATTTTTTCACTTGCCTTCGTGGAAATCCTCTTTGCTCCTGATTTCCATGCTCTCCTTAAAATTTTCAGTAGAACGGTGGTCCATCAGCATTTCGCTCGACCTGCGACGGTGCTTAGCGGCACACCGGAGGTCTGGAAGGTCTGGGTTTCGTAAGCTGGGCCCAGACACTGTGAGAGTGGCCGCGTGGCCATCTCTTCTTCCGGTGAATGTTGATTCTGATCCTGCATTGGTGGGGTTTGGAGGAGGGGGGGGGGGCGGGCGGAGCGGGAAAGCGTCGGGCAGCTGACTTGGACAGAACACCGCGCGATACAAAGACTCTGAGGCAAAATGCACCTTTCATGTACTCTTGAAAGGATAGAGAGGCGCGAGAGGTGGCCGATTCAGGAAGCAGGACACCGCCCCCGGGAGCACAGGGAGCGCGGGGAGCGGGAACCGACAAGGCCCATTGAAGCTTGGAGGTGACACAAGCAGCTTTGGTTCTCATCTGTTCTCATTGTAGGGTGTGTGAGGTTTGTAATTGAGGAGAAGAAGCGTTCCGGGAACGGCCAGAAAGTGTCAGAGCTCTGCCAAAAAAACGATTGAGAGGCGGCCGATTCGGAGAGCGGGCTTTGAACAGCAATCCCCCTCTCTTGCCAGAGAGTTCAGAGCTCGAAGCGCAAGGCCGGCTTCGAGTGTTGAGCGTAGGATCTGCAAAATGTCGGCTCCCAAGGGCAGCCTCAGCTTCAGAATGGCAGTCGACTAGGGTATACTAGGGTTGAGGGTCCTGCACCCCCAACAAGTGGGGACGAGCTCCACTGCCTCGAGACATCTTGAGACCGAAGACCTCCTCCCACCGAGGCAAGGAAGGCTGCGAGCACTTGGCCAGCGCACTGGGCCGCCTCACGCAGCTCCGAGAGCTCAGCTTGAACCTGTTTAACAACCGCATCGGCCCGGGACTCGGAGCGCTTTTCGGGCCGGGGGTGGGGTGGGGTGGGGGTCTTTTTGCCCACCCAAGGTTCCTTTACCGAATTGCTGCATGGCTGAACTTTTTTTAGTAGACCGTCGCATGAAATCTTGGGCTTTCTTCTCCTCAGCATGTTCATAGATGTGGACGCAAGAAACATCGTAAACATAAGGGAGCAAAAGAGCTCATGTTCACTCTTCGGGGCCCGGGAGTTTCAGTACTCAGTAGCTGTCCGTTCAGTCCACGGTCCTTAGTCATTTGAAGGCTTGCCCTCGGGACCGAAGTGAATGGAATCGAGCAACGAGAGCGCGCGGAACGTGCACAAAGACTCACCGGTCACACATGGTCACACTGAACTCCGGGGGCCGATTCGGAGAGTCCCATCCGAATTCTTCCATCCCGAAAGTCTAAACAAGGCGCAGCTGAAAAGCCGCACGGCGCTCTCATCTCAAGCCTGAACCCCCTAGACCCATCTGAGCCTTTTATGCGGCGCCCAAACCCTGAATCGCTAAGTGTAAAAAAGGGGCGCAGGTGTCAGTGAAAGAGCGGGAGAGAAGTTGCGTCTCCGTAAAGTTGTGACATGATGTGACAGCCATTCACTCCTGTAGGAATTCAAAGGAGACATAAGGTACAGGTATACCCTGGCTTCCCTTACCACGGAAGCTTGCAAGTGAACATAGGATTTTGTGTAGTGTTCATCAAAAAGTTCCTTGTAATATCATAATAGCATGCATGACTTTCCTTGTATTCACTTCTCGAATTCAGTAGCCTTTAACACGCATGTCAGAAAAAACGTTCCGGGAACGGCCTGAAAGTGTCACAGCTCGCAAAAAAGCTCGGGAGAGGCTCTGGAAGTCTCGGGGATTGAGAGTCGGCTGATTCTGGGAGCAGGGTTCGGAGAGCAATCCTGCCGCTCTTCGGAGAGCTGAGAGCGTGGTGGAGGCGGTTGAGGGCTTTGAACGTCCCCGGCTTCGAGTGACGAAGGGAAGGAAAGGTAGAGGAAGATCTGCAATGCTCCAGTGTGTATGCAGGGTAGGGGATTTTAAGAACGTGTTGGAGAGGCCATAAAGCCCCCAAAGGCAGCCTCAGCTTCAGAATTGCTTTCTTCGAGTCGGGTCTCCCCCCCGGTCGGAATCCTAACTCTCAACTTCAGTTCTGAAGCCCCCAGTTCAGAGGTCTTCCAAAAGCCCAACGACAGCTTCAGCTTCGGAATGGCCCCGTTCAGGATCCCAAAACAGGGCGAAGCTCCTTCCAACCCCCTCGCAAGGCAGCGAACGCTTGGCCGGCGCACTGGGCCGCCTCACGCAGCTCCGAGAGCTCAGCCTGGACCTGAAATGGAACGACATCGGCCCGGGGACTCGGAGCGCTTTGTGTCCAGCCAGGCTACTGAGGGCCTTGTGCCAAAAAGTCCAGGGTATGTAACAGGCCCGGGCTTTTGGTGGGAAATCTTGAATGCTGAGCCCTTCTAGAAGGTTTCAACTTCCAGCGTAATCACTCGGAGTCGGCGTCAGCGGGTTCGCCGTCGGAAGCCAAAGAGCTGTGAGCACAAGTCGTTGCAGACAGCTGTACCTGACATGGTTTCAGTGGCCGGCTCCATGTAATCCTCTTTCGCACCTGTTGCTTCATCCATGTAATTTGGTCAGCTCCATCCATGTGATCTCCTCCTCCGTTCCTTTTGGTGTTACCATTTTGTTTTTGGACCTGTGGCCTCCTGCTTCGAGTTTGGGGTGTCGGAGAAGGGCCCCAGCATTTGGGATTTGGCTACCCAGGAGGCCTGGGCTCCCGAGGTCCCAACTCGAGTTCTGAAGTTCCCAGCCTAGGGGGCCTTCCAACTGGCTTGGTTCCAGCGTTCAGGATTCCGCCCCCACAACCAGGGCGGCTTCCGCTGCGTTGAGTGGAAGACTTCACCTTCCCACCGCCTCCCAAGGCGACACCGGCTGCCAGCACGTGGCCGGCGCCCTCGGCCGCCTCGCGCAGCTCGAGAAGCTGAGCGTGAACCTGCATGGCAACAGTGTCGGCCTGGGGACCCAGGGCGCTTTCGGCCATGGCGGAGTGTACTTTTCTTCCCACCCATTCAGGTTCCTTGAGGTACTGCATGGTACTGCGCCTAGGCAAGGCATGGCAAGGCCAACACTTGCTTTACTAGTCTCAACTAAAAGCTTCGCTCGACCCGTGACTGTTGTTCTTAAATGAAGGGCACACCGGAGGCTTGGGGTTCATACATGCGATCTGTATACATATAACATGTACTCAGCAAAAGTTTCTCTGGAAATCTTTGAGTCTTACATGTATATTCTTTTTTTTTTCACTTGCCTTCGTGGAAATCCTCTTTGCTCCTGATTTCCATGCTCTCCTTAAAATTTTCAGTAGAACGGTGGTCCATCAGCATTTCGCTCGACCTGCGACGGTGCTTAGCGGCACACCGGAGGTCTGGAAGGTCTGGGTTTCGTAAGCTGGGCCCAGACACTGTGAGAGTGGCCGCGTGGCCATCTCTTCTTCCGGTGAATGTTGATTCTGATCCTGCGTTGGTGGGGTTTGGAGGAGGGGGGGGGGGGCGGGCGGAGCGGGAAAGCGTCGGGCAGCTGACTTGGACAGAACACCGCGCGATACAAAGACTCTGAGGCAAAATGCACCTTTCATGTACTCTTGAAAGGATAGAGAGGCGCGAGAGGTGGCCGATTCAGGAAGCAGGACACCGCCCCCGGGAGCACAGGGAGCGCGGGGAGCGGGAACCGACAAGGCCCATTGAAGCTTGGAGGTGACACAAGCAGCTTTGGTTCTCATCTGTTCTCATTGTAGGGTGTGTGAGGTTTGTAATTGAGGAGCCTTTGCTGAACGGAGAAGAAGTGTTCCGGGAACGGCCAGAAAGTGTCAGAGCTCTGCCAAAAACACGATTGAGAGGCGGCCGATTCAGAGAGCGGGCTTTGAACAGCAATCCCCCTCTCTTGCCAGAGAGTTCAGAGCTCGAAGCGCAAGGCCGGCTTCGAGTGTTGAGCGTAGGATCTGCAAAATGTCGGCTCCCAAGGGCAGCCTCAGCTTCAGAATGGCAGTCGACTAGGGTATACTAGGGTTGAGGGTCCTGCACCCCCAACAAGTGGGGACGAGCTCCACTGCCTTGAGACATCTTGAGACCGAAGACCTCCTCCCACCGAGGCCAGGAAGGCTGCGAGCACTTGGCCAGCGCACTGGGCCGCCTCACGCAGCTCCGAGCGCTCAGCTTGAACCTGTCATGGAACGACATCGGCCCGGGGACTCGGAGTGCTTTTCGGGCCGGGGGTGGGGTGGGAGTGTGGGTCTTTTTGCCCACCCAAGGTTCCTTTAGCTAATTGCTGCATGGCTGATTTGTTTTTTGGAGAAGGCCGCATGAAATCTTTGCCTTTCTTCTCCTCAGCATGTTCATAGATTTGAGCGCAAGAAACATCGTAAACATAAGGGAGCAAAAGAGCTCATGTTCACTCTTCGGGGCCCGGGAGTTTCAGTACTCAGTAGCTGTCCGTTCAGTCCACGGTCCTTAGTCATTTGAAGGCTTGCCCGAAGTGAGTGGAATTGAGCGACGAGAGCGCGCGGAACGTGCACAAAGACTCACGGGTCACACATGGTCACACTGAACTCCGGGGGCCGTTCAGCGAGTCCCATCCGAATTCTTCCATCCCGGAAGTCTAAACAAGGCGCAGCTGAGAAGCCGCAGGGCGCTCTCATCTCAAGCCTAAACCCCTCATGGTCCCATCTAAGCCCTCTATACAGCGCCCAAACCCTGAAACACTAAGTTTAAAAAAGGACGCAGGTGTCA